GGTGGGGAGCACGGGGGGTGGTGTCAGGCCGCGACGTCGACGAGTTTGACGTGGGTACTGATGCCCTTGTTCACCCACCACGAGCTTGGAATGTTATTTCTCGAAATGGTTAAATAGGGTGGAAATTTAGGAAATGTTTTGACGCTGGTGGGAAACATATATTAGTTTGTGTGAACCAATATACTTAGTATGACAGCAGTATGTTTTAAAGAATTAAGTGATGGAAGCAACATCCTTTGATTATCCTCATGTATAAATACATTTCAAGAGTATCTGCTTACCTTAGGGCTTGTCAGACAGGTATCATTTCCTGCCCCCTGAATAGTATGAACTCTAGACTAAGTATTCTGCTCAGCTATAATTTTTATGGTGGAGTTTACTTGCATCAGTACAAGACATTTAATTTTTTAAGTTTGTGCACCGCAGACACCAAAGGACAGCAAACCTCAACAGTCCATGTCTTCCAGAAAAAGTTATACTACATATGTTAACATGTCTATAAAACAAGTTGACATTTATATTGATGTGAAAGCTTCAAGAGAGTGCCAGGTAACAGTCAGGTCTCTCTTAAACTATTTAGCTCCAGAGTACATTTATGAGTATGTGGATGCATAGTGTTTTACATATTATTAGGTTTTGGTGATATTAAAAACAGTGTTACTGGGTGATGTATGGTGAGAAGGACTTTTCCTTTACTCTTCCTTCCTTCTCTCAGTTTTACTTATCTGTGGAGGAATGGTTCTTTTCTCTTGAAAGTAACAAGTGTGTTTCAGAGAGAGCAACATGTAACAACATTACCACAAGAGCTACTTCAGATACTCTATAGTTTTTGTGGACCATGATTATTTTTTCTTGGGGTCAGCTGAAAATACTCTTGTGTTTTCTAGAAGAATAGTAATATAAGAGCATTTAGAAGACTACCACTTTTTTTTCTCCACTCCTGGAAATAAGGTCTACTATTGTTTAGTTTTATTGAGGTTCATGTTTCTTTGAAACATATATCAATTTGTGGTTTTCAGCTTACTTTCTTTGATGGATATCTATTTGTTTTGTCAGTTTTCACTCGTTCTCTGTGTAGTAAGCTTGCACTGACACCTGTGGATTTAAGTTTGTTGTGTTTTCTGGGTTTTTTTCCAAAAATGGTAATAAATGTGATGCAAATATAACAACTCCGATGTTTCTACTGAACTGAGAATATTGGTGCACCACTTTTGGAGCTTCAGTTCTTCATAAAATAAGTTTCCTGTTTGTAAAACCTAAGATAATACCACTTCCTCGATATTACTTAGTTGCTATTCAGTTGCTTTATGAAATCAAAGCAAATGTGGGTAGGTTAATACATTGATTGGATTTTAAGTGGAAGCTGTTGTATTGCAGTTAGAGGAGAACAACCCTCTGTCGTTCCTAAATTCACAGCAGTTAAGGAGCTTGGTTTGTTAGAGTAGTATTTTGCATGTATACAGTATAAAAGTTGCATCTGATATATTAGTTGTTTTTTCTTAATCTGGGAAGTTATATATCGTGCAGTTTGGGAAAACTAATCTCCCTGAGAAAAAGTAAAAGCCACTAGAATTTAAGGTATTAATAAGCTGGTTGCTAAACACTTCTTTTTCAAATCATATTTGATTCTTCCCTTATAGAGGTGTGCCTCCTGTGCTAAAAGCCTGTTTGTCACTAGATTTCTTTTCTCCCGTCTGATCTTGAACATTTGGGAAGACAAATGAAGAGACACTTGTCCATCTGTTTAAAAAGGACATGGGGTTTTTTTGGTTTTTTTTTTTTAGTCTTACCACATAGTGTTTCTGAGCAGGAACTAGACTTGCTTTGTGCATGGAATGTCACACATCAGGTCCTTTCTAGATTAGGTGCATAGGACAGAGACAAATAGAAACAAAGAAGAGGCCTTCACTTTGTGTCTGTCGGGACCTCTTTTTTTTTTTTTTTTTTTTTTTAAATTACCTTACTTGTTTCTAGTTTTATTTCAGTAATGTAATGTTTTTCAATAAATTATCTTCCAATATTTTTTTATATGAAATTGTTAACACAGCTTCTTTATTTTCAAGCCATGTCTTATTTGAAAGAATTCACTGCTTGTCCTGCTGTGCATTGCAGTAAGCTGCACAAGCTCTGTGTAACACTCTGATGTGTTTTCTTTTTTGTCATCCTGCTCAAAGCTTTTGGGTTTTGTGTCTTAAAATATAGTACCAAAAATGTCTCATGAAAACCTGAGGTGAACATGGGCTGCAAACTGAAAGTAACAATTTCAAGTACTGTGGTAATACATTCAGTGTGTTCCTGCCCAAATTTTCATATACTGCTGAAACAGTTTTTGCATAAAAGTGAACAAACAAAAGCTTACTTTTGTTGTGTTCTTCATGTGGCACTGTTAAATGGTCATCTTGGTAAGATGATGAACTTTATGAGGCATGATGTTGTCAGATTAACTGGTGTTGTGTTATAGGCTGTTCATGCAACACTAATGCTCCATTCCATAACAGTAAAAATAAGGACTTGTGAGCTTGCTTTCAGAGGGTGGGCAAGCAGCAGTGAGTGTTCTTCATGTGTATTGTGGTGGTGCAACAGTGTACAAAGTTTAAATTTGAAAAATTCGAAGGAAATCTATTTATTTTAATTATTGTACAATGTTGTCTGACATGTTTAATTCTTCTACAGATTAACACTAAAGCCCCACAATGTCCTTGAAACCACGAGTAGTTGATTTTGATGAAACATGGAACAAACTTCTAACAACAATTAAAGCTGTTGTTATGTTGGATTATGTCGAAAGGGCAACATGGAATGATCGCTTCTCGTATCCTTTTAACTGAAAATCTGAGTTAATGTGTTTGTGGGATGTGTTTAACATGGGGTAGGCCTGCATTACGTAACGGTTTCAGTGCTCTCAATCAGAAGCTTATTGTAGTATTGTATCTGTTATTAAGCCTGTAGGTCAGTGGGTGTGTTGATAGGGATGGGGAATTCTGTGTATTTGGGAAGCATTCTATGTGAAAATCCCCATGGTAATAATAAGGAAACTGATCTGAGTTTTACTTAACTTCTAGTAGCTCTGGTAGTTAGCTTATGCTATAGCTGTTCACAGAAGTGCATGCATTGAATTTCACCTAGTCTGATAATACATTTTTCCTGAATGCTTAAGTGTGTGTGGTAGCAGAGGAAACACATAAGGCACTATACACATCTTTAAATTTAGGGTTGTGGAGAGTGGTGAGGTGGTTCTGTTTAAAGATGTCTCCATTTTCTTCACACTTATTTGTATACTGATGACTGCTGTATTAGACACTTCTATAGCAAGTGTTTATAAAAAAGCCTTCTTGCTTGTCCTTCACTGTTATTGCCTCTCTATTCCTAACAGTTAAGCTGTGTTTAAAAATAATTACTTTTTCTGGCTGTGATCATAAGGTCTTGCTGTTCAAGTCACAGCTGTACATGCAGTGTTGTAATGAAAGGTTTGGATTGTAGGTGTAAAATAGACTTGTAATTTTTTACAAAGTTTAAGTTTCAGTGATCCTCTTTTAAAAGAAGTGTAACTATTGTAACCAGTTTTACTGTGCCCTGTGTCTATGCATTCACTAGCCATTACAGTGTGATGAATAATTAGAGAATTTTAGGAGACTGCAGCTGTTCTGCAGTAATTTGACTGTTCGGTTTAATTATAGGGGGAAGAATATTATGGATTTGTTAATTCTTCTCTGTCAAAAATGAAGCTCCTGAGATGATTATTTTATATATATGTGTTTTTTACAATGTAAGCTTATTCTGTGTGCATTAGCTAAATTCTAAAGTCTCTTCTCTTTCTGAACATGTTACCATTTCTCAGAATTGCTTTCCCATGTGCCCATGTTTTCAGTGTGTGCATGTGTGAATACATAAAAAAAACCCAGTTGCTTTTAGTCCTTGTGGAGCCTTGTTCTATGGTGCAATAATCTTTAAGGAGCTCTTTCATTTCAAAACTTCGTAATTTATTTCTGGGGACATGACTCTTCATCTTAACTTGGAGTCAGACTTCTTGAATTAATTAGTTTTGCACTTACATGCTGACAAATTGTGCTGTAGTCATTCTTTCTAAGCTGTGTTCAAGAGCTGCATATTTCAGTCTTGTTAACTTCTGTATCTTAAAACTAAACATTTAAACACAGGCACCTAAAATAGATTTAAATTAAAATAAAAATGGAATTATATGTTGGATTGATTCTTCTTGTCACACTGTTTAACTTAGAACTTCTTATGTGTAGGCCTTGTACATAAGCCTCCTGTTGATCCTCTTTTGGGATTTACCCCAGTTGATTGAACATCAGAAAGGGTATGCTTATGAATAGCAGACCCAGGAAACAGTCTTGGAAGAACCATTTGGCGTGTAATTCTCAAGATCTTGTTTATTATTATCTCTTAATTATGTTCCTTGGAAAGTGGCACTATTAGTGCCTAATTTGGCACAGTCAGGAGCCTTTTGGCTTATTCTCTACAGCTGAATGTCCTGAGGAGCTTGTGTGACTTTTAACTTCCAGCTTCAGTGTTACTTGCTTAGTACTTCTGGTGCTTTCACTCAAACTGTATGTTTTAACACAAACTGTTCATGGAGTATTCAGCACCTTGATGAAACTGGTAGTTTTATGCAGTGGGTATGAAAGCTTTTTCTAGGTTTTAAATACATAAACAAAGCTAAAGTAGTAATGATATCTTTTAGGAAGATGTGGCATTTAAAAAATACATGTTCTTTATTAGCTTTATATTCTTTGTGAAATTTGAGTAACATGTTTTTAAACATCTACGGGGAATTGAAAGGATGTCATTTTATCTATTTTTCTTGCTGCTTAATAAGCACAATTAGAAGGTGACAAATTATTTGAACTATGTCTTAATGAAATCAATGCATGTTATTTCATTGATTATAGTACCACTTGATCTTTGTGGTCTCTCTGTAGAGACTACAAACAATGATGTGGAAACAAAGGATAAGATACCGCAAAGAATCATTATTTCAGTCTGCAACAGTGTATTCTAAGTGTTTGCTTTTTTTGTGCTGCTTGAGACAGCAGAGATCAAATGGTTTATGCAGACATAGCATTTTAGGGCTGAAAGGCTGGTAACTGTGCATAACTCATGTCTAGAACTATTTTTTGCCTCATTACTTCTCCAGAACTTGTTAGTCTTGAATGTAATGTTTTCTTTGTAAGTCTTACGGTAATTTGATTGTTAAGCATAGTTTATCTCTAAGTGTAGCTTATTTCAAACTTCAAATGATAGAATTACAATGAGCTGAAAGCTGAAATTTGCTTATTATGAATGCTTTATATAACTTCTAAGACTTTGCTTTTAACCGTTCAGTAGGGTAGGGCAAGCTCTTTAAGTTAAGAGGCTGTTTCAAGCCTGATTAGAGAGTGGTAGTTCATGTGTGCTTTGATAACTACATTTTAGCAGTGTAACTATTTTGAATGGGTAGAACATCAGGGTCTTCCTGTTGTTGTCTTGGATTTTCCACCAACCAAGTAAATAGGATGAACGGTACCCCCGGAGGAAAGCAGATGTACTGCAAACAGAATTATTTTAAAAGTATGCAGCATGACCACGTGCCTCTTCCCATTTTTCTGCATGTTCTTCCTCCATTAATCAGAAGCCTATAAACATGTTTAGGTTAAGAATGAACCCAAAGAGCAGGAAGAATAAATACATTTCCTATGATCATGATTCTTTCTGACTCTGAGTCCTCAAGTGCTCTACGAGTTTTGCTTTGCTTACAGAGGAAGACCAACAGTCACAGAGATTTTCCAAAAGCTCTGCTTTCATCTTCTAGAGAACATCTGTTCTTCTGCTGAGAACAATATATGTGAGCTTTTATGGCCTTAGATGGAGTGTTTTCTTGTTGATGGTAGTTATTTAATTCTTTTTCCTTAGTTTGGAGCTACTTCAGTTTCCCATTGCTGGGTAATGCCCCTCAAATAGCAACTACTGGAGCACTTAAGTCTGACAAGGCACGTGACGTTCTCAACACAGAGTGAAGGTCTTCAAGCAGCAGTTTGGCTTCAGTTTACTTTGACCTTTGTCACTCTGCAAAACTATGTGCTGAACTGGAAGGTCAAATGGCTACCACCATTCAAGATAAAATACTGAACAGTAAAGGCTTCTTTCTGACTTTATAAGGGATAGCAGCACAGAAAAAAAAATAAAGTGCTTTAAGTGTATGGATTAAAATACCAGTGATGTTTAATGATTCATCTCCACTCAAAGAGGTTTGGTGGGTTTTTTTGTTGTCATTGTTTTTTGGTTTTGTTGTTTATTTTTTCATAAGATATTCACAACATTTTGAACATTAACATTTCTATTCTGGTTTGAAAGATAGGCTAATAGACTAGTACAAATCAAGCAAGAATGTTAACCTTTTTTGTAGCAGAGCTGACTTGTGTTTTTTGTAGAAATCCAGAGAAACTTTGTATCCAACAAGTAGAATTTGGTGTTGATTTTTATAATTTGGTTGATACAAGAAAATGGGTGAGGTGACCATGGAAGTGTCCCTCTTTAAGCTGTTAGTTTAGCTTTAGCAGGTGTGCAAACTCAATGTTGTATGTCAAGAAGAATACTAGGTTCAGCTTTCTTCATTTGCAAGAAAATTTGACTGTTCTCTAGAATAAGGAAAGGCTGGTTTGGAAGATGTGCATTTTCATGAAGAAGCACAGATATTATTTTCTTAAATAGGTTTATTACAAATGAAAAACTTGTTTGAAACAGTAACGATCATCTGGACTCCTAACTGAAGCCTAGGCAATGGTGGCTAGATAATTTCAGAGATATTTATTTGCTATTTTCATCAGATAAGTTGCCATTATTATTTGTTTATGCTATTGTGATGTAGATTGTCCATTTCCTCTCTTTTCAGAGTAAGTTGTTCTTGTATCGGAGTTCATAACAGTTTTGGTGATTCAGATAGCGTGGTTGTGGATGTAAAGAGAAACGAAGTTATGTCCTCTTTGCTTGTGAGTGGCTTACAAAGATTTCTAATTCTGGAATTTACTTTCTCAGAAATACCTTATTTGCATAGCAGAGAGTCTTGCAAATGTGTTGATACTGGGGATGTGTTCAGCTATGAACCATCCTTAAACTGGCAAAATTTGTTGGGGGGGAATGTGTAAAAAAATTGTTCTTTGCAATCTATTTAAGAAAATAATTTTTCACCTTGAATTTGATAGTTTGTTTTGGTAGTTATTGGGCAAAACTTTGTAAGTTTCTGTAATGTGATACTAGCTACTCTCACAAAGCAGTGAATATTGCCTGTTTTGGTTGTTGGGGTTCTATTTAAAGCTTCTTGCCATTCCAAGGAGAATTCCAGTACTGTGATCTGTATGAATGAAGTAGATGTGCTTGAGATGAGACTCAGATTAAGTGCTCTTGAGATTCCAGTTGCCAAGTAAAGGCTTTTTCTGTTTAGTTGTCCTTCATCAGTATCTTCTCTTCTTTTGAGTAGTACTTCTGTATAAGAAATGGAACATGCTTTTGGGAAAAACGGTGATAAAAGCTTGATACTGTTCTGTGGACTAAGGAGGTGACTTGTCAACTCTTCTCAAGTCTTCTACCTGCTTTTACACAGGCGTGTTCTTTTTTTAGGTAGACTAGAGGAAAGCAGATCTCTCTTGTCTTCTCTTAATTAAAAAGCTTAGTAAAAGTAATCTATACTAAATCGTTATTTCTAGTATGGCTGGTTTTATAAAATGCCTGGAATTAGTGGCTAAGCATGACACTTTGAAATAGTTTTTGCAGAACTAATTTATTTCCTGTGGTTGTTCACTTGAAGCCTGATAAAATCCTTGCTTATCTTTTCTGAAAGCAAAGTTCTTAATCCTGAACTTCTGACAAAGTATTAAGTTACTTTTTTTTTAAAACAGTGACTTTTTTTTAAAACTTCATGAAAATTTCACAAACCAAAGATGTAGCTCTTCAAGACACTAGTGAGCTAGTATAAGATTTTTTTTTTTGCAGTGATCTAAATTGAATTACTGAACTTATAATAATTATTAAAAATAAAACAAAGGTTTTGGATCCACACCAGCATTGTGATGACGTAATTTCCAGTATCCCACAGAACTGTTTTACCTGTGGAGGTGTGGGGTAGTAAATTGTTATGAGCTTTCGGGAGGAATACTGGAGTTCGGCTTCACTTTGTTCTGCTCCATACTTTGCTAATCACGTTCTTAACCGATTAGTATTTCTTTCTGTTATCTGAAAAGAGTCTCAGTTTCATATTGGCTGGAAATACATAGGAAGCATTTTGGATAAAAGCTGATTATTCACTTTGAGGTAATAATATATTATTTACAGTTGGCAAATAAGTGGTAAAAGTTATATCAGCATGGGGCTACCAGGAGTCCCAAGATCTTAGCTGTAACATATTCTTACCTTCCACTACTTAGTTTTTTTTATTAGTGCTGAAAATCTAAGTTCTCCACAAATCAGGACTTGCAGTAATTCCAGAAAGTTATCCATTTTATCTTTTGTGCTTGAATGTAAACAAAAATACTAATTTAAAATGCTTGTGTTGGAGAAAAAGGAAGGTTCTGTAAAACTTAAATTTTGTTGATAAGATTTCACACTTTAAGCAGATGCAAACCTTGACTCTGAGTCCAGCGACATTTATGCTTTGTGTGTGGCCTATCCTGAACCTCTCGGAGAGAGACTTTATACTGAGACTAAAATTTTTTTGGAAAATCACGTACGCCATTTGCACAAGGTAACCTATACAGTTACATGTAGGTTTTGTTTGCCCTCATTTTTTCTACTTTAAGGAGTAGTTTTATTTGTTTTCCATGTATGAAGGTATGCAGGTTTTGTGCAACCAAATCACAGTTGATGGAGTTGCTGAGACAGATTATATATGTATGTCTGATATGCAGCACATCTCAGCAAAAAGAAGACAGGTATCTCTACATCTGTCTATATGCAATGCAAAAGAAAACTTTCTTTTTAAGCCTACTGTTATGGTTTCTCTAAAAATATTCATTGTTGGTTTGAAAAGTAAGCTTTTTCTTTTCTGTTGAATCACTGTAATAAAACAAGTTACAGTATTTCTTCAGTTTCCAAATGTGCTGTATTTTGTCATTAGCCTTCTGTTAGAGCCTAGAAGTGTCTACTTTAGTGTTTTGGAAACTGATTATAAATAGTTAAGAAAACTTCTGAAGTATGTGGGAAACAACAGAAATGCTTGGGAAGTAAGGACAAATTATTTATTATTACAAGTAAATATACTTGTATACCTATTTAGCTGTGAATTCTGTCTCATTAGCTAAGACACTTAATTTCAATAGGATCATGATTCATCATGCTGAATATATAGAATGGAAGAACAGTATCTTCTTGCATTTCAGTCAAAAGAGAAGTATATTTAAATAAGATGTTCACCTGTCTGGTGTCTGTACAGGGAGTGAAGACTTGGAAATTCTGGATTGTACTGCTAAATAACTTGATGCCATTTTTTGAGCTAAGGTGTACCATGTGTATTTTATAGGATAGGCTGGGTATCTTAATGGGCAGTTCCACTGGATACCTCTGACACTTTGGTACACTAGATCAGTTAATTAAGCTTTCAGACAACTCAGCCAAAAAACTTCTCCCTTATTTATTTAGTGAGCTGAATGAGCTCACTTAGGATAATCAGGCAAGTGCTAGCACAGTAGAAGCTGTGGGAAGTCTAAAAAAGCATACATCTTTTAAACTTGGCTGTTCACCATTTGTCTTTGAAATAAGGTTTAAAAACCTTTGCAAAACTCATACTGTGGAGGAAATCACTCTCAGTTCTGTTTTGTCTACTAGCTTTCCTCTTCTACATTATTTTTGCATAGGCTTATTTGCTGCTTGAGCTAAAGTTTAAAATTACATACTGTAGAGAGATTTATAGTAGAATTTCTAGGATCTCATCCTCCTTCACAAATCATACTACTTTGTTTAAGCTTATTCCTTTGAAGTATTAATATATTTTGAGAAGTTCAGTACACCAGCAACTTCTTAGATGATAATTCACTTAATTTCAAAAGGATGTATTTAAGTTTGTATGTATCTACACTTTGTTAAACTTGTTTTATTCCAGGATTTTTGGTAAGTATAAATGTTTGACCAGTAAGGCATACTGTTTTTAAGCAGTTATAGTTAGACAGCTCCTTCAGTAAGCATGTGACTGCATGAATTTAAAATTGATCAGTGTCAAGGAGCAAATAGTTATGCGAGTCAGCCCACCAGTACAATGTGAGAATATGAACCGTGCTTATTCAAGCAAGTATGTCTGTAAAGATAAATAGCAATATCTTATAGAGATTGTTCTTTTTAAACACAAAATAAACGATTTAAAGTGTTGTGGCTGGCTTACCAAAAATTGCAGTGTGAAGATTTGTTAGTTTTCTTGTTATTGCAGTAATGTTATTTTTAGAACAGTTAAAGCTTAGGTGTTGTAATTTTGAATCTATAACAGGTATTTTTTAAAATCCTATTATGTATGAATGCTGTGCTGATGCTAAATTTAGGGGGGGGGTTGTGTGTATCTTCCTTCAGAGAGTTCTGGAAGCTGAAGAACAAGTACTGATTATGTATCACAGATACTGGGAAGAGTACAGCAAAGGGGCAGACTATATGGACTGCTTATACAGGTAAGCTTTGCAAATGAGTTGTTAAACTTTTGAAGTTATTACAGTGAACTGCAGTTTAAGAAACTTGTTAAAGAGAGCAATAGCTGAATATGCGTCAGGTCAGTTTTGGAGAGAATATATTTATGGTAGCAGAACATGAGAAAAAAGCAATAATGCTCCAACAGGTTGTAATATTCCAGGTATGTCTTCACAAGTGCCGAGGAAACAGTCACCTCCCTTGACTTCCTGGTACCCTTTTGCTAATGCAGCCAAGGGGGTGATTGGTTCACTGTGAGGTCTGCAAGGCAAATAGATAACTTAGTATCCACCCATGAGGAACACTGTTCATAACTGGTCCACAGTTAGATGCACATGGAAATTATTGAAATTATTGAAAACATAAATGCAGCTGCTAATTTCTACTGTTCAGTAATGTAACCTTTCATAACTGTTGTGTGGTTGCACACACATTCTGTAGTTTACAAAGTAATTTCGTTGTGCAAGTGGTAGGTTAAAGAAAAATCTTAAAAAAACAACCTGAATGCTTCTGAAAACTGTAATAATGAGTCTTAGCTAATTAGTTACCTTTTTTAATTACCTCCTGTACATCAGAAGAGTGAATGGTACAGCCACATAGGGTCTTTATCCTTCTCCAGGAGTACTTGTAGTGGCCTGTGGAAATAGTTTGCAGGGTTCTCTACTTTTAAGAAAATATATAATCATGTCAGGTTTTTTATGACGTAATGTCATGGATGGACAAAGACTGAAAGGAGGTAAATTCTGTTGGCTTTATCATGGAGAACGTAAGAATGAAACCAGGAGCTGACTTGAGACAGGTATGCTCTTAGGTTTATTACATTCAAGCTAGATTTCACAATATCTATTTTTCCAAAGCTAATATTTGTTTCTTATCCAGGAGTGTGTGATTCAAACTACTAAAACCAAATAAAACATGAAAAGAAGTAATATACACCTAATCCTTCTGACAATGCTTTGCAAAGTCTGTGCTCCCAAGGACACTGTGGGCTATTGATCTGGGAACATTGCTTTGGGAATGTGTCACTATGTCTAGAATAGTCACCTATGGTTAGACTATTGTCCTTGGTTTGTTCCAAAAGTACTAAATACATGAAAGTTACCTGGTAACTTCTCCCAGTATTTAGTTAGCCTTCTAATTGTTAAATTAGTTATTGCAGTTTCTTTTATTTGCTAATTTACTTGCAAAAAATGTATCCCTTTGTTTTGCTGAATTATCAACTCTTTTATATCTTAAAAAAATTTGTCCACAGAAATATCAATGTACCAGACATATCCCTGATATTCTTAATTTAGGTGAACATTGTCTTTCAGTATTCCACTGTAAAGTAGGTATTTGGTTTGAATGAGTCTTACAACACTCATCTAAATTCCAAACTTTGTAACTTTTTCTAGAGTGGAAGCTTGGTAGATGTGTTCTGAGGTTTGGGTACCAAAGGGTATATTTCTTTGCTAATACCATGAAAGGAAACAAACCTCAGTTTCTTCATATTGTTTGCCATTTTCCTCATCAGATGGCAAAGCATAAGCCTTCACAGGTGTACTCTCAAGTACAGTTGGGCCTGAGCTGTGTGATCCGGTATTTAAAATTTTTCCCTGAAAGTTTTATCTCAATAGCAGGAAGAGTCTGAGTAATTTCAAGAAGTATCAATCCATGCCCAATCTTTGTTTCTACAGTAAGTAACAGATTAATCTTATGGATTGTCCTCTTAATGTAAGACATACTTATGAAGTACTTCAAGTAGTCATTCAAGGTGAATGAAGGTTTGTGGTTTCAGTGGAAAAGTTAATTCAAGATTATGCTGTTTGCACATCCCTTGCAGTTACTTACTTGTGTTGTGTTTGTGCTTGGTTCTGAAAGTTGATGGCAAAGTTAGGAGAGGGGGAAAGGAAAGGTGTGCAAATGTGGTTTTAGTTTTGAGCAGGGTGTGGTGGCACTCTTGCCAGGACTAGTTCTGACTGTCTCCTTCTTGCCACCTATTTTTTTGCTTGAATCAGATAGGTCTTTGCAGGGGTGCCTGATCTAGGTTAAACTGGTTTATTTACATGTGGAGACAGTGGTTTTAAGATGGATTAGTTACCCAGTCTGGGTTTGTTGAGAAGGTGTGTACTGATGAAAAAGAGAAGGTGTAAATGAGGAGAAGGTAGGGCTTTCCTTTTTAATGACAGGAAAAAGGAGAATGGCAGCTTCAGGCTTTGTTCACATGGCAGTGGGTGGGAAATATCAAGGAATGTACCTGCTCAAGGCTTGTGTTCCAACTATTTGGGATGTCCATATAAGTTTCATGTGCAATGTTGGGCCTGTAGCTTTCTACACAGACTTGAATTTACAGTTTGAGATGGTTTTTGATGGTAGCAGAGCAGTTCACCTTACTCTGTGATACTCTGGAGTCTGGAAGTAGGTTAGGCCACTGTATTCCAGTCTGTTACCGCTGTACTATCAACAAGTCTTCCTTCTTTGGACTCTGAGGTGTCCTAAATTCTTTCCAGTTCACAGGTTTCCACTGTAGGTTTCTCCTTTTCCTTTTTGCTTGACATTTGCTTTCCTGCCTAGAGTGTTCAGACATCACTATTCCAGTGCAGACTTGAAAGTTTGAATCTCTTAAAGCGCTTCAGGGATCTGCCTCTCTTCAGTGTCTGGAACTGGACATCTTAAAACTGCTACTTGAATTTAAATAAAAAAATAAATAAATCTTGGTTATGTCATTTAAGCACTAACATAACAAATATTATAAGTGTGGTCATGAAAAAATCATACATTTCCTCCCCCCAGTTATCTGGGGAAGAGAAGGGGAATGGTTCCGTTTAAAAGTGTTACTCTTTCTTTTAAGGGAATACTGAGAATTAAGAGGGGTGTTTTCTTTATAAAAGCTATGCATACAATAATGAATACTGAAGTTGGGGGGAAAAAAGCATGTATAACATTTCTTTATAACTTAATTAAAATAATTTATCTCATCTTTAAAATTTGTGATGCAGTTGTTTGCTAGTTATCATGACCTGACTAAGGGATCATAACTGACAAACATTTTCCCTGTAAAAATTGACGCTTTTGTGTTTTAGTCAGTGAAATGCAAAATAGTAAACTGTACCTACAAAATAAGATACATTTTACTTTTAAATATATGATACTTAGGAATACTTTTCTATTATTGAAAATCAGTGAACTACTATCACTAAAACGAGTCAGCTGATCAGAATTTAGCATGTATTTTGCTATACATGAATGAGAAATATGACAGTGTAAGCTGAAATGTTGGATTTTTACAGAAGTATATTGCACACCCAAAAGTGTTAATGGTGATATGTCAAGCTACTGTTAGATATCTCAGTTACTAACACTGTACTGTTTTAATATAATGTAAAGTCTTTTAAAGTAATTTATATTTTAAGAAATTCCTACAGACAGCAGTGGCATTGGTTAGAAGATGTTATCTTTTGTGATACAGAAGATGTTGCACAATTCCAGCTTTATTTAAAAAAAAAAAGCTTGCTTGTGCCTATTTTGATTAGACTATCTTTCCGTAGGTACCTCAACACACAGTTTATTAAGAAGAACAAATTGACTGAAGCTGATCTTCAGTATGGTTATGGAGGGGTGGATATGAATGAACCATTGATGGAAATAGGAGAGGTAGGTATCTCTCAAAGTGGGAGTGGATATAAACTTTTTATTATTTTTTTTTAAATGTCAGAACTTGACTTGCCAGTGTAATTACTGTTCTAGCTCTTTAATTTCATTATTTTAAGCAGGCAATCTCAGTTGCCCTTAGTTAGGAAAAAGGACAGATACATGAAGAAGCATCTTGTGTGCCTCTGACCTGGCTACCCAGCTGTTGAAGATGGCACTGCCAGCTGAAATTGTTTATCCTCTAACCAGCTGGGGATAGGCTTAAAAAAAATCCACCAGAAACATTATATAGTTTAAGTCAAAGCAGTTCAGCAAAGGATGTTCTTCTCTTGTCAACCTGTTCTGTCTCGAAGGCTTGCTAATCAATGGCATCTGTAAAGGTCTGTCAGAGCTGTATTTTATATATATACACATATATATATATGTTGCTGCACTGTTTGTGGTATTATCAGAAGGGTATAAATGTTATTCCTTATTTCCTCAGATGGAGATTTAGCAGAGTCTGTTCTCATGATTGTCAGATGTGAAGTCATTAGCTACTTCTAATGACTAAGAGTCATTAGTGTGGATGACTCTTAGTTCAGCTGCTTTAGGGGCAGGGAATGACAGGGCTTGTTCTAGGGACTGGGTGGTGCTCAGGTATTAATGAATTCTCCCCTCATTTCAGTGTATTTCAGTATTTTGAGGTATCACCCAGAGGATGGTGGTAGTGGCCTCTTTTGTCCCTAGCTTTCTGCCCCAGGATGTGTTTATCAAAGAGGAACAAACAGCAGATCTGATAATTCAGCTAGTTTGAATATTCAGCTTTCCTCATGTTTATGGAATCACAACTAGGGAGAAAGACAACAGTGCACACTTTTCTACAAGCTTCCCAGCAGTTGTTTTGGATGGTGTATCTCTAGCTCATCATTTGGACAGGTTATGGGGAGACTTAGGATTCTTAAGCTGTAGCTGGCAGCCTTTGTTTTTTTATGAAGATATTCAGAAGATGGTGTCTGGAATTCTACTAAAGACTTTCATTACGTCACTCCTCAGGGCTTCTTCCATTTCTCTTTATCAAATATTGTCTTTGTAATCTGCAGTAGCGGGAGATAAGTTTTGGGTCTTGAGGCAGGAAAGTTAATCTCTGTTCATTGCTGGTGTAGGATTAGGCTTATGGTAGTTACTCCTTTGCCCTGAAAAGGAATGGAAACTTGAGTCCTACACTCAAGCAGTTTAATGCATTAAATTGCAGCACTATTTTTGGTGAATTCATTGCCCCAGAAATAAAAGTAGTTCACATTTCTTGACCTACAAGGCACTCAACAAGTTTTGCAAGTCTTTGATTTGAAAGCATTTTCTCTTTTGTTATGGTTCCAGTTCAAGATTCTATCTTTTTATGCTTTGGGTTGCGCCAGGGACTTTGACAGAAGTTTTTACTTCAGTTGTTCACCACTTTAGATGGAAAGAATTATTGTTTATCCCTTTTTAGATTACTAAGGTGATCAGCCCTTTATCTACCTAAGAGAAAACATTTATATTATATACATAGTTCTCTTCAGTCTCAGCATGAAGTTACAGAAATAATGCCCAGTATTTGTAGAAGCAGAATGGTACTCTGTGTATTGAAATTTCTGTCTCGGTGTCATTCCTATGTGCTGATGAGACTTAGGGAGCTTTTCAGTAATCTTAAACTAGTACATGCTTGCTTAGCTCTTCTGGGGAGTGAACAGTAGATACACAGAATAGACCAGTAGTGCATATGTGATGTTCATGGGTGTGACTTCAAGCAGTTTATGATCTTGATAAGCATTCCAGACATTCAGTAATTGTTGTACTAGGGGAAATACAGGATGAGATCAGCTGATGAAAGCAGGCTGCCAGTGCTTGCCAGAGATATTTTTTTCTCTGTTATGAATGCATGGTGAAGGATACAGCTTCTCTGAGTTAAGCTCCTGTCACTGATTTCAGACTTCTGAGTTTTCAGTGACTCTGTGGGAGCTCTGAGCTAGAAAGTCGCTAAGCTGTGCCTTCTGTTGTTTTTTTTTTCCTCCTTTGTGGAGGGCAGCAGGCTGCCCAGAGATGTTGTGGGGGCTCCGTCCCTGGAGGTGCTCAAGGGCAGGTTGGATGGGGCTCTGAGCAGCCTGTTCTAGTGGAAGGTGTCCCTGCCCATGCAGAGGAGTTGGAACTTGATGATCATTAAGGTCCCTTCCAACTCAAAAAATTCTGTGATTCTGTGGAGCAACAGATTCTGGAAAATGAAGGAAACTGCCATGTTCTGTATTGTCAGTCTAGCTGGAGAAATAAGATCAGTCCCTCTCTTCAAGGAGAAAAAAGTCTCTTGAACTAATACATCAAGTTGCTGGATTGACCTGTCTGTAGTTTACTTAAAATTTCAACAGGCAATTTGAAGCTGTTTCAGATTGGTGAGGTATGTGAGAGGGACCATGCTAGAGACAAGATTTCAGAGACCGTGTTACAGGACAGAGTTACCTGGGGTCATCCCTTTCAGAAGAGAACACCTTCATATTATCCTCTTTTGGCTTTAAATCTGATTTTGCCTTATGTATAAAAACTTCTGTGAACAATTGCAGTTTTGTTGTTAAAAATGGTATATTTGGGGAGCAATTACTTAACCCAAAAGAGTTTGAGGTATCCAAGTCCATCTGGCTGATCCCTCTAATGATATATTAGAAAGAGAGTGACCTATCCTTAATATGAAAATGTTTGAATTCCATTTAAGACTAACATTAGCTTGCCAGTGACTTCGCTTTAGCTGTATGCATCTTACTTTGGGGATGTTCTGTGTGTTGGATATAAAGGTTTTGTATCTTTGACCTCTGACCAATTGGCCAAGAGACACTGTCTTTTGTCAGCTGAGGCTGATTTTGGTATAATTCGAAGAAACAGTGATGTCTGTACACATTCAAACACTTCAGGTAAAAAGGTATGTTACTTACCTGTTAATGTGCAGATGTTCTTTTACATAAAAAAAACACTCAGAACTTGCTCTCATAACCAGCTTGCCTAAGGTCCTTATGTACATTTGAGAATTCTTAATAGATTGAAACCAAAGAATAAATCAGTCCTTTTAGTTGTGTAGGAAGCATACAGACTGGGAAGCTTGCATTCAAACACCACCTGACTAGAAATACTGACATTGCTAATGTACAGATGTGTGTGACCTTCATCCAAATGCAGTCAGATGTTTGAGAAGAAAAAGGATTAAAAATATGTTAATATAATTGACAAATGGGGAAGGCAAACAAATTGAAAAAGAAGAAAGAAGAGGATATCTAACAATTTAAATTTTAAAATCATGAATGAGGAATTGCGTCATCTTTGGTTTTGTTTTGGGCTTTTAAAAATATTTTTTATTGATTTAAATTTGTGTTGTGTCCTGACAGCTAGCTCTTGATATGTGGAGAAAATTAATGATTGAGCCACTGCAGGCCATCCTTATACGGATGCTCCTCCGAGAAATCAAAAAGTGAGTGATTTTATTTTGCTTTTTCACAGTGTGGGGCTATTGCACTTTTTTTACTTTGAAAAGTCTGGGGACTTTGACCAAATTCTTCTGGTTTTTCTTTGAAGGTAACTTCTTACCTGATTGTGTTCTATCAGTTGTTTTTTCTTCTAGGTACAATTTTTTTTTTGCATGTGTAGAAAAATACTCTGCAAAGAAAATAGTTAATTCTCTGTGACCCAAGGGTGTAGGGATCTTATCTGTTTCAGCAACCCTTCTTACCAGTGGGACTGGGGCATAGTTAGGATAATTCTTCAGGTCCCATACGATGTCCTTGGCCTTTTTCTCCATCTGATGTGAACTCCTTATGGCTTCTCTGGTGTCAGTAAATATAAGGACCAGGGCTTATGCAAGGATTTCCTAAGGCCAGAAATGCTGTTTTGCTTTACATGGGACCCAAAACAATTCTTAATCATCTGCCAGGAAGACTAAGCTTCTGGGTTTCTATTGTTCAGATGAGTAACTTGGCTTAATGTTCTTGGTGCTTTACTTAAATGTAATGGAAATAATTATTTTCTTGTACTTTGACAGAATTTATTAATAATTTCTGAATATCTTTGTTACTTTTAAACAAAGACCCTAATAGTTACAGGACTTGGGGCGCTTTAAGTTTTTATGTAAAACCTTATACTATTTCACTCAAAGGGTTTTTTGCTTCTGAATAAAAGAAATTTTGAAATGTACTGCAGATTTTGTGTGTAGTTGTAAGTTCCATCAGTTCATACACTTTACTACTGCTTGGGGTGGCTCTGGAGTTGCCTAATGATGGGTTTTTTTCAAGTCATTGCATGCCTGACTCAGGTGACCAGGCTATTAAAGGTAAACTGGAAGAGTGAGGTATTTTGGCTGATTGAGGTGATGTGGACATGCACTTGATCAGCCAAAATGCTGTATTTACAAGGGATTAAGAAAACCTGATTTTAATATTATAATTTTGTTTTTGCTTCCTGAATTAAATTTTCGACAGCTGAGTAACTGACATGATGTTCATCTCAGATGATACTTCTGAAGCCAAGAAGTATTTATTTGCTTACAATTGTCAAGCCATACTTCTGTTGTAGCCAGTGCTAATACTGCTTTATCCATATGTTCACTACAACAGTTATTTTTTATTTTTTTTTTTTACTAAATGAAGATTCCCAAATTCATGGTGAAAAAAAATTCTGCTTTGTTACATTAAGCACAGTGACATTCAAGACTGGTTCTAGTCAATCTGTATATTTCACTCACGTGTGGGAGTGGAAATCTCTACAGATATATCATGCCTCTTAAAAGTAACAGTATTTATTTACCTTGAGGCTGACTGCAGATCTTTGAAGAGTATTTAAATCAAGACTGTCACTGGCTCCTTGGGGTGTTAGATCTTGAGACTGTAACAAGTTGACACTATTTGTTATTAAACCATTTGGGAAGTTTTAAATAAAACTTGAGTGATTGTCTCTTAATTATTGGGTCTTCATGTCTATAATTTTTTCCCCTCCATTGTTAAGGATTCTGTGTGATCGCAAAAAAGTTAGTTTGACTCTCCAAATACAGATCTGACAATTTGTATTAAGTTTATTATCACTGCTTTGTGATCTGCCTGTCATGTAATGGCCTATAGGATAACTTAACACATGGCTGTCCTTCCTAGTATCATGAAATGCAGGGCTTGCTATGGGTATTCTGAGGATGGTCTTTGCATGTAACTGTAGACTCACTGCTGTTCTTTGCTGTTTTCAGTGATCAATACAGTTTGTAAGAGGCAATTTAAAAGACTTTGCTGCAAACTTCTGTGAAATGTCTTTTAGCATGGAGCTCTGCAGTTCAGGGGCTAAATAATGTCTTTGAAGAATTTTGTGTCAATAACTTACATCTCTCAGAGGTGCAAGAATATTCATGGGAAGTTTATTATCTAAAAAAAATAATAAAATTACTAATACATGTATATATAGTTAGAAACCCCTTGGTTACATACATAGGATGGTTCAATTTATTAAAATATTTTACCAAAAAAATAAAATAAATGGAACAGTTATACTACACAAAATGTTCTGGTTGTAAGTAGTTAACAATCATAAACAGAGTTGATAATCAACATTGTAGACAACTGGTTGCATATAAAAATGTGTTTATTACTGTACTAGGGAGCAGAGCCACAAATTTTGCTTTCACATTTCATTTTATCAGTGCATTTACATGGAATTTTAGGAAGGCTTGTGCCTAAAATTTTGGGCACATCTACTTTTTAGAAGCTATAAACTTGTGCGGTATACAATACATTAAAGTTAACAATAAACTCTTTTGGCACCTGACAAAGAATACAAGTAGGGACTTGTGGTGCAGCTGAACAAGATGGCTAAACTGATCTTAAGAGTTTGCTGGTGCCAGAAAGGAGCAGGCTGTGCTCTGCTATCTTTCTTGTGCTGAATTTGGTGCTCATCTGGTTCCTTAGTGGACTAGAAATGCTGATACGAAAGAAAACCATCTTGACTAATACTTCTCCAGATTGGCATGATGAGTGAGTTCAGCAAATAATTAGATAAGTGCCAAAGCAATGCAAGCAAGGTACAGAGGCCTGTAACTGAGCAAAATGGAGGCAGATTACCCCCCTTGAACAGCAAAGAATTGTTAAATCACTTAAGCCTGTCTTGTCTGACTGCACTCCTCTTAATATAGAGTTCTGAATATAACACACTTTCTTCCCCCTCCCTCTAGCCCAAGCACTCCTCCTACAAGGCAAGCTGAATATCAACTTAAGCCTTTTTGTTTCAACACAACAGGAAGCCGACAAGATACCGAATTGTGAGAAAATTCATCTATGAAATTCTTAAAAAGAAATAATTTGGAAATTACTCAGGTGCTATCTCAAATGACAGTGTGATTAGTACAGACTAACCAGGAGAGGTTTCTCTGCTAAAGATAACTAACACTTTCTAACTAACCAAACCTGTTCCTATCTAATCTGATATGTTATTTATACCACTTATTTTAAATTAAAGGAAAGTTATTGGAAGCTAACTTTTTAAAAAGTGTTCTAAACAGCCTCTTCTAGTTCACATTGAAATCTGTAGTTGGTCCCAGCAGGCCATTGGTAAAACACAGCAGAGCACTTAATTTGAATGGCAGAATCTTCTTTTAATGAGGAGTGTTTTATTATTGTACCTTTAAACTTTAAATATGTTCTAAAGGGTTATAGTAGTACACTGTATGATACACTTTAAACTTCCACTGTTACCTGTAGTCTTAAGATAGGAGCAAGATGGAGTTAATAGAAACAAACACATCCTTAAGCTTGTATTTGTGTAGTTTTCTCAATTTATTTTAAAAAAATAAATAGAGCAGCAGCAGAATTAGGAGAACTTGTGTTTCTAGTGCTTTATCTTTTTGTCCAGATTCTCTACGAAGCATCATCCTTCCCTTCTACCCTCCCAAAATGTCCTGTGACATCCCTGCTTCAAACTGTGGCACATGCTCTGTCACTGCATGTGTCCATATTGCTTACTGACTACTGCCAAAAAGGAAAATATGCACCCTATAGACTTCCACCTCGGTGGGGTCACCCATTTTAGTTTGGCAGATACTCTTACTACAATTTGCGCAGGGATGTAATCCTTGAAACTTTAGTAACTTCTGTCAAATTTTATTGAAAGTAGTCACTTGTGTTACAAATCTTTGGGAGCAGAGTGCCATTGATGTAAATAAAAACCTTAGATGCTGCCAAGTGGCATGAATTACTGTTTTGTGACATAGGCTATTCTTCTTGGACATACTGTAGCTTTTCAGATAGTTTCAAGATGAAGTTCATAATGTAAATTAAAATAATAAATTATTTTTTCAGTTGTGCCCAGTGATAGGACGAGGGGAATTGGCACCAAGCTGCAACATCAGAAGTTCCACCTCAACCTGAGGAAAAACTTCTTTATTGTGAGGGTGATGGAGCACTGGAACAGGCTGCCCAGAAAGGCTGTAGAATCTCCTTCTCTGGAGACTTTCAAGACCTATCTGGATGTGTTCCTGTGTGATCTGTCCTAGGTGTTTCTGCTGCAGCAGGGGAGTTGGACTCAATCTTCAGAGGTCCCTTCCAACTCCTAGGATTCTATGATAAATTTCATTACAACCTTGCTGTAAACATACCTACCAAGGGAACCTATGTTAAGCTACTAAAAATTCTGCAAATGGGGGAAAAAAATTGGGATTGCGGGCATCTGTTAAAAAAAAATAAACAATACATTTACATGATCCTTGCAGCTTGTTATTTGATTGGCAACCACATGGTTACTACCTCTGTATTCTGAAGTGCATTTCACTTCTTTCTCTTAGTTGTGAAGCACTATAGCTACCCAAAAGGCAGGCAAGGCCTCTTCCATATTGTATTCCTTTTCATCTGTTGCTTTCATGCTGTCTGGCCTCTGCTTTGAAAGCCTGTTTCCTACTTCGCAGCTCTTCCATGGAGTATCTGTTGCCACTATTTTTACAGCTTTTTCCTAATGATATGTTGACCTTTGAATCACCTGGGCCTGACCTTTGCTGCCCTATCTCCTGCATCTGTGTGGGTTAAGGTCTGTGAAGTGTCCTGTGAACTGAAAGAGGGGAGCTGGGTCTTCATCTGTAATTACAGTAATGCCTCTTATGTTTGTGTTATCAGTATCTTTCCAGGTCCAGAACCCTGCATGCTAGAGGCAGACTGGACTGTCTCTTGATAGAGCCCTGCTTCGTTACATGCTTCACTTTTAGTTATGTGGCTTCCTGCGCTCCATGACATGGTGCAGTGTTCACAGGCTGCAGGCATCCTGCAGCTTACCAATGTCCTGGGCCCCTCTGTGGTGGAGCTGGGTCCAGGCCTAGGTCTGGTGTTATGCTTCTGTGATGTGCTTTTCTCTCTGCCATCGTGTAACCAGACCTGGCAGAGAGAGGTTGTCAAGAATGCAGGGTGTGAATACATGTACCCAAACCCAGATGTATTCCATTGGTTTAGCTACCAGAATTAGAGGGAACCTTCCTGTCCCTAAGGGAAAAAAAATCAGACCATCCCTGCTGGAGCAGTTACCCATTAGGCCAGCTTGTTTACAACAGGTGACCAGGCTGCATAAGCTGTACAGTGACTGCTCATTCTGTGTTAGAGAGCTAGTTCTTTCCACCCATCATGAGCTTACATTTTCAGCTCTTAGGATGCAGTAGTATGTAAAAGCAATGCACATCATTAACAGTGTTGTGAACAGATGAATATGGTGTTCTTTATGTAATACAATGACTGCTGGTGTGACTGTCCTGGCAAACCTCCCTAGCCCATGGGCATCCTCTGGAGTTTTTATCAATTCCAAACAAAAATTAATGAAATAATCACAATTATTTCTCCCCTATTCCTCCCCAGCCAAGATGGGTATATGGTAATGTTTAGATTTGAAGTATTTCCCCTGGCTTTACTGGTTTTATTTGTTTATTTTTTAAATCACTGATGTAAATCACTTTCCTGTACCAACGTTAGTTTCTAACAGAGAACTCATTTTGTCTTTTCAGTGCAATCTGGGTAATGTTCTATTTTCTTTATACATGTATATATGTGTACATATGTATTCAAAAAAGGAAAACCTTTGAAATTTTGACTGCTGATGCTTAAGTGTAAATATGCTTTTATAAATTGCATTTTAGTCTTATTTAACACCTCAGGAGTTAAGGAATATTTTTTACTGCTTTGTAAAGTGTGAAAGGTGGTCTTTTGTAACAGTTCATGTTTTAAGAAAGTTTCTACTGCACTGATTGTGGGTCTGCTATTTCCAGTCTTTGCAAAGGAGTAAACAGTAATGTTTTCAGCTTGCACACTTGTTTTAGTTACTTTTGTTTTCAACTGAATGGGACCAAAGATCACATTTTATTCTCCTGAACTTGCTTATTTGAAGCTAAGAACTTGATCAGAAAGCATAAGGTTTTCCTTTTCCCAATATATGATTAAAAATTGTGACACACCAAGTGTGTAATTTGTTCCACTTGACATCTACAGTTGAATAGTAGATATTCAGAAAAGAAAATAGCATTCCTTCTGGTGTGATTGGTGAAAATGGGCAGGTTTTTTGGAATGGGCAGGAGTGTGAAGGTAGTCTATTTGATAAAGGCTACAGACACAAGATGGAACTTATTGTAACAATTAAGTTCTTGCTTGGAGTATGTAATTTGGAGTACTTATATACTTAGCAAATACTTGGAAGTTTCATGACCTGCAAATGCTTTTGAATAGTTTATGAATTGCTATCTCAACAATTTAAATAGAAGAAGAGTGTTTTCTATTTTTGTTTTAAGATTAATCTTCAGGTTTGCCAATCTAAGTAGAAGAATTTGCTGGAGAATGTTTTCATCCAATATTTAATTCAGATACCTGATGAGTTACACTAGATACCTACATTCTCATGAATGTTTGCTTTGCCTATTTCAGTGATCGCTGTGGAGAAGACCCAAACCAGAAAGTAATCCATGGGGTTATTAACTCCTTTGTTCATGTTGAACAGTATAAGAAAAAGTTCCCCCTAAAGGTATATACACATTTCTGATTTATGTTTGTAATGGTGAATGTTAATCTAGGATATGTATTAGTTGTCCTTTAAAAAAAATTCTTCCTTTTAGTTTTATCAGGAAATTTTTGAGTGTCCTTTTCTGAATGAAACAGGGGAGTATTATAAGCAAGAAGCTTCAAATTTATTGCAAGAGTCAAATTGCTCACAATACATGGAGAAGGTAAGAGATTCTTCTGTACACATGCAATAATGAAAATCTAATATAACCGATTTACCAGTGGTGCATGTTTTCATGTACAGTTCCCGTAATTGTTCTTTGTTGTATGCTTTCAAGCAGTTTAAACAGTGCTTTTTGGTGGCATGGTTAATCTGTGAGCTGCAAACCTTGCCTATGGGTGGATAATTGCATGAAAAGTAAAAAAAAAAAGACTGAAGCCAAAACATGTCAGGTTGATAAGGATTGGTTCCTCACTTCCTTATTTTCTTTCTGTTTGTAATAGCATAAGATGAGAGTTTTGACAATGTAATGGTTAGAAAAGAATATATGGCAGAGTTGTTACAGAGCATTTTTAACAATTACGTACTCTGAGGTGGATTTTCTTTTGTCCTGATTTGAGATGTGTGAAGTCTGGTTGTGTGTAAATTACTTGTAATTCTTACGCTTTGCTTGAGAAAGCAAATATGAGGAGTCAGTCTTCAGTGCCATACTGTCCACATGAACAAGATAAAAGAGGACAAGGTTGTGAGATTGCTTTTAACCTTACAGAGCATGAGCTAATGGTTTCACACCTGAAGTGAAACTCAGGGACAGGCTAAGACTTCAACTAAAACAGAAGAAATGTAGATTCATTTTGTCTATTATTAGCAGTCTGCAGCTGCACTACTCTCCCTAGGCTCCCCGCATACTCACTGGATAGAGGTACTTTTATATTGGTGTTCATATGACTTGTGATAATGCCTACTCTCTTCATTGAAGTTATAAGGAGAGTTTTTATTAGCAGCTCAGAGATGCCCCTGTACCTTTTGAGCAGATGTTTACATACAAGCAGATGGGGTTTGAAACAGAGAGTAATTCTTATAGTCATATAATTAGATATTGTGGTAAAACTTTCTCAGAAGGAGTAAGAAGTATGGTAGGAGAAATTGGGGAAGACTGGTCACAAAGTTGAAGGCAAGAAATTTTCAGAAGAGAACAATTGAGTGTTATTAGATGTCTATCAGTAACTGACTCTGAGTGGAGGATTATATTAATTCAGCATTAAGCTGATTAAAAAGAGCAAATTTCTTTTTCCAACATCCAAGACAAGTTCTGAAACTGTTAACCTATGTGTGTCTCTCATTCCACATACATATACTGCTGTATATTCATGGTTCTATATTTGTTGTTAGTATTTCATCAGCTCTCAGTTTAAAAACCTGTCTGTAGGTTTTAGGTAGATTAAAAGATGAAGAAATGCGGTGTCGGAAATACTTGCATCCCAGCTCATATGTTAAAGTGATCCATGAATGCCAACAGAGGATGGTAGCTGATCACTTGCAGTTTCTACATGCGGAATGTCACAATATTATCAGACAAGAGAAAAGAAGTGGTAAGTCTTGATCCTCACAAAAAGCATGAAGTGTTTTTTGTTTTATTCATTTATCATTGCAGTTCACTGTCTTTATTCAATGACCTTCTGTGTGCTTAAGCATTTTCAACTAATATATGTAATTTTTCTAGAAAGCTCAATTAAACCCTGAATGATATTTTTCGTTTATCCTGTAATTCATTATCGTTCTTCCAAGTATATAGTCAAAACCTTTTTACTGTTAACAACTCTTTCTGCCAATACTCTTTTCTCTTTCCTTGTCTTAGTCAGCTTAAAAACACACTTAAGTCCTGTGTCCTGTAGAATTGATCATTTTTATGCTCGTGTTTTCATTTGTAAATCAGCAGCATCTCTATCTTTACAGATTTCTTCATCATCATCTGACAAGTCAGGATTATAAAATATTCTGGCTTCTTTTCATAGTCACATTTTATTTTCCTGAATTTTTTGTGACCTCTCTTCCCAAATCCTTTTTACGGAAGGAGATGCTCCTATAGTTATATTCTCTGCCTGACTGAAAGATTACATGCCTCTTAACCTTGGAATAATGCATATACTTGCATGGAAGATGGTATCTATAATGTGAAATCAGTTGGTTTTTCACAGTAAAACTCAAATTTTATCCAATAGGGTTCAGTTTCCAGAGAGTTATTCTAAATGAATCAGAGCATGGATCCTTTTTGGAAATTAAAAAATTGTAAAAAGTAAAAAAAAATAAATAATAAAAATAGCAGTTGCTTATTTATAGCTGTTTATAGCTTTAATAACCTGAGGAAAATTTCAAGTCACCATTGGAGGAAAAAAAAAGTCAAGAAGATACTTAAACTGATTTTAGTCAGTTGCTGCTAAGGGACATTCAGGGAGGCCAAGAATTAAAATAAACTGGCACATTACTTTTCCTTACTAGCCCAGCTCTGTTCTTGGAGTCTCTCCTAAATATGCAGTATTGGAAGAGTGAGGCAGTCACGATGGCAGGAGTCAGTAAATACTGATATTTGCCCTATGCTTTTTTTTCCTTTTGTCAGTGATCCAGTGTGTTATTTTTTTTCAAAACAGTTGGTCTTTTTTCAGTATTTGAAAAGTTCTGTGTGAAATTATGGTAAATTGTTTGTTTTTAGTGTTTCTAAGCATATTCTATAAATATGTATCTCTGTTACAGACATGGCAAATATGTATACTCTACTTCGTGCTGTGTCAAGTGGTTTACCTCATATGATTCAGGAACTACAAAACCATATCCATGATGAGGGCCTTAGAGCAACCAGCAATCTTTCTCAGGAAAATGTGAGTTTCCTTAGGCAGCTGAAATGACCTGTTTGATTAACATTCCTGATGAAATGTTCACCCTTTTCTTTTTAGTCATTCTGTTGTGTTTTTTTTTTAATTTTGTCTGTATGAAATTGATTTGGAACATTATGGATAAACTTCTGATCAGCACGCTTAGCTGTGCAACACATATCTATCCTGAGAATTGATTTTTGTGATCTAACCAGAAACAATTACAGCTAGATATTTCTTGTTGTTTGTTTAATGGTGTCATGGCAGTTAGGTCCTTTTGTTCCATGTATGTCTTTTTTTTCCTCTATTTCTCTAAGTGACATTTGCTGTTCTGGTACATTAGGAACCAATTAACTCCATTTAGTTTAATTATATGTTATTTGTGAAGATTTGACATCTTGTCCCAATTTCAGTATGGTATTTTCACTAATAGCTTTGTAGTCACATATTTTCATGTAATTTCTGACAGTACTGTAGCTTAAGTATTATTGTACTAAATTGTCTCAAACTTTTTTCAGTTCATATGTACTTGGATTGCTCCATTCCATTTTCATTCCTCTAGCATTGCTTTTCAGAAACAAACAAACAAACTTTCATTTGGCATTATATTTGTACACGAATGCATCTTGCTGTCTTGGTCTGCACTCACTTTAGGATGGTGACTGTATTTCTGTCTAAAATAATTCATAGATATGAACTCTTGTAAATTCACTTATTGCACAGGAGTGCTTTCTCTTCTGTAAATCCTGTGTCCATACTGCAAGTGGGCTGAAGTCTTTAGTAGTATAGTTTGCTTTCAAATTATTTGTAAGTTTACTGAACTTACTCTTTCAAACTAGCATTGTCTATGTGGGGAAATGAATGCAGAGCCATGAGGGTAGTGAAAATTCACAGCCTCATGTAGATAAACTCAAAATGTGAACTGTTTGCCCCACTGCGCAAACTAGGTATTTGTCGTCAAAACATTTTTAATGTGTGACCTGAGAATGCACTTGGAGAGTCAGGTGACGCACCCTCTTGCATTGCTGCATGCCAGTTTCTCTGCCTAGGGACTCCTCTAAGTTGTGTTAGTCATTTATATACAAAATGTTATGCTGAAATGCAACACATTAATTGGATTTCTAGCTGTCCTACATAAGAAGATTCAAAGGGTTAATCTGGATTTTCTGTCTCTGAAATCAGTGTGTAGGAGAAGCAGCAGTTTGCTTACTTCAGTAGCTGTTTGGCTTGATTGCCCTATTTATGTGTTAGTATTAATGGTTTTTGCAAGGGCTAATGAGTATTTTAGGGCATGATGGAAAAGATCAGGCAACATGAGGACAGTATAGATTCAAATTTAAATAGCTGGACTGTAAATGTTGGCACAGACTTTTTTTTTCTAGAACACTTTTTATTTCTTAAGCACAGTAGAATAAGAGTACAATAATGCAGAATCAATCCTTTCAAAGACTTAATCACTATGATTTTAATTTTTGTCAAAAAGAATAATTAGGATAAGGTATACAAGTAATGTAGGTATGTTTGTGTGTATGTAACAGTAATTTTCTAAATATCTTGCTTTGTGTTTTATCTACCTTTTTTAGATGCCAACTCAGTTTGTGGAGTCAGTTTTGGAAGTACACAGTAAATTTGTTCAACTAATCAACACTGTTTTGAATGGTGATCAACACTTTATGAGTGCCCTTGACAAGGTAACTTTTACTTATGAAGTAAATAAATTGGAAAACAGAACGTGGGACCCTGTTTCAGACTCACCAGAATTCTTCAGGACATCTACACATGTTCAAAGATAGAGTTCTTAGGGAGCTTTTCTAATTTAGAAACACAGTGGAACAAAAGACAGTCTAGTGTTGGGGAAAATATGGGTTAAATACTTTTTTTTTTTTTTTTCTGAAACAAAGACCTTTTTTTTAATCATAAATCAAAACACAGAAATTGAGATAACCCATTTGATGTTAGGTGCAGACAGTAAATAGACAAATTGTGGGTTTTTTTGAAGTTTAGTAATTCTTCTATGCATTTGAACTTGAATTTACTTGCTGCCATAATGTTTAAACTCTGAATGCTGATAGTTTTACTTATATAGGAGCTTCATTTAGATTTTTCAAGTTGATGACAAAGAATAGCTGGAAGCTTAAGTTACTTCAGTCATTGTCAAAACAGCTCTATTTTTTCCAGGAGAGAACTGCACTTGAAGTAAATTAATTCTGTTTAGGTAAAGAGGCTTATTGCTTCTCATCTTTAAAATGCATAGCCATGAAGGTATTTAAGATAACAGTTCTACCTGTTATAATAATAATAACAACAACAAACTTTATTGTTGTTATTTCTATTATTACTGTTATTACTAAATCAATTTGTTGATTTCTCACTCTTTC